AGTAAAAAATCAGTCAGTAAATCAAAGTGACTCGAAATTCGTTTTTTCCCCCCATCTAATTGCTTTTGTATTCATGTATTTTAGCATAAGATAGTGTGTAAATTATTTTATACAAACCATCAATAAATAATATGCCAATAACATTAGCCACCCCCCCCCCCCCCCCCAACCTTCTTCCAATCAGAAGAAATGAATCATTTTCCCTTTACTTCTTATGGGACATTTTATTTGGTATTTGTCCTGTCTGTTATATGTCTTTTTTGGTATATATGTCCTGTATAGTACGTGTCCTGTTTGCTATACGTCCTGTTTGGTAAATGTCCTTTGTAGTAAATGTCCTGTTTGGTATACACCCTTTTTGTTATATGCCCTGTTTGGTAAATATTAGCAGATTTGGAATTAATTCAGCATGCATACCAAGATATCACTGTATTTGTTTATTTCCATGCTCTGTTTTCAAACTGGGTGTAACAAGACAGTATTTATTTTCTCAAACTGATGTCAAGAGAATGGGTTTGGGAATGTGGGAACTATTTGTGTAAATTTACCCCATAGTTGAGCCCATGGTGGCCTCAGCATACATTTGACTACATGAATATTTGTATACTCACAACAAAGAAAAAAAAAAAAAAAAAACAACCGATAAAAATAAACAACATTCACCTGATAAAACAAACAGAAAATGGCAAACAATATTTATGACCACAAGGGCAGATAATTACTAATAATGTCTATCAAAAAATATCAAATAACTTGATTGTCTGCACTTTGTGAACATTATGTATTTCCCAAATGAACTTTTTCTTTATATAAACAAATATTCTGTTATAGTTAACCGATCATATTTTAGTGATCTTGCTGAAATGAACAAACATATACTGTGCTAAATTAGTCCCAGGATCAGATGTGTAACTAAGTCCGAGTGTATTGTTTAACTATGTCACAAAATGCTATTTACCTATGATCCAATATGTTGTTTACACATGACCCACAATTTTGTTTAACTATGATCCAATATGCTGTTTGAATATGCCCAATTATTATTTTTTTTTTATGTCCCAATTGCTGTTTGATTATGTTACATTATGTTATTTAACTCTGCACCAATAATTAACAACTATGTCCCAATATGTTATTTATATTCCCAATTTGTTGTTTAAACATGTCCAATTATATTATTTAATTATGTCCCAACTGCTGATTAATTATGTCACATTTAACTTTTTAACTTTGCACCAATAAATGTTTTAATTATGTCACAATATGTTACTTTTTCATCTTCTGCCTTCTATCCTCATCCACCCCCCCTTAAATGAAGTACAGGCCCTCACAAACACAGGTAAAGTCATTATTTCCTTCGTTATTGCAGGTAGCTCCCCCATGTTCTCATCTTTTTTCAGTTTACTCTCTAGCTTCCTTCTCTATTTGTTTTTTGGTCTTCCTTTATTTCTAAGCCCCTGTGGGTTCCACTGCAAAAGACATTCTAATTATACAGTTCTCGGGTTTTTCTCAACGCGTGTCCTATCCAACAACAGCATCTTTTCTTCACCTCTTGGTCCAGTGAAACTTATTATGTTCCCTCCAAAAGCTCAACATGAGTGATTCTAATTTAATTTCCTCTATGCTGAGCAGGCACCGGTTAATGAATGCTTCTAGTTCGTTCGTAAACTTGTTTAGCCGTCCTCCATGTTTCTGGCTCCATACAAGAGTGCTGATTTGACACTCAAAAATAAAAAAAATTTAACAATTAAAGAAATTAAAAATTTAAAGTTTAGTACTAGTTATAATTTCTTTTGACCTAAACATTTTTCATACTGCAATGAAAGCTCCTCTTGCCTTTTGTACTCATGTTTCAATATCTCTATCAGTTTCCCCATCTTTATCTACATTACTGCTTAAATAGGTGTACAACTACATCTTGGAGTGGGATAACATTAAGAGAAACTACACTACTATTTGCCTAATTTATTCTCATTCTTTGTTTTTCCCCTCTTATGGATTTTTAAACCTAATTGTTGTGATCTTGTCTGAAGCATATGTTATTTATCTTGCATCTGATTCCATGAGTTGGAAGAGAAGAAATATCATCATCGAGGTTCAGATCTGCTTTGTAGGAATCCACTGAATTCCATTTCTCACATTAGCAGTTGCTGTCTTCATATTCTAGTCTAAAAAAATCAGAAGAGACTACAAAAGACATCCTTGTCGCACACCTGTTCTTATCTCAAACGTATCTGTTAGCTTTCCCACGTGAACAAGTCAACATTTCATGTCTTTATATGTTTACATATCATCATTATCATGTTCCCTGCCAACTGGCATAGGCGCTCATGTGTCTCCACAGATCACGATCCCTGGTTGCCTGGAACAGCTCTCTTGATGATATCCCTCCATGCCATCGTTTCAGCCTATCCAGCATAATCTCTCTTGGTCTGCCTCTACCCCTTCCCACCAATCTTTCCAGTTGTCACGATGTTTTCCAATGTCTCTTTTCTCATTATGTGGCCAAAGAACAGTGTTTGTCTTTTTCTTATTATTGTATATAGAGATCTACTTTAATTAGCTTCTTTCAAGCAATTGTTGTTAGTTACTCTGACCGTCCAAAGTATTCGTAACAATAACCACATCTCTGTTGCTTCCAAATTCTTCTTAATTTGTTCCCTGAAATTCTAAGATTCACTGTCATACAGCAGAACAGGTTCTATGTAACATTTTAGCACCCTCTTTCTGACATTATATGAGACTGATTAATTGCATATTTTTCATTTTCTAAAATGCAGCTTTCGCTTGACCTATTCTGCTTATAATCTCTGTCACACATTTTCCATCTGATGATAAGATTGTTCCCAGATATTTAAATTTATTGAAATATATGTTATTTAATTATGTCAAATTATGTCCCAATATGTTGTTCAATCAGGCCCCAATATTTTGTTGAATTTTGTCTCAACACGCTGTTTACCTATGACCCAATATGTATTTTAACTCTGTCCCAATCTGCTGCCTAATTATATCTCAGTATGCTGTTTCACTTTAACCCAAACTGGAATCAAATGCTGAGAAACCACCTGCCCTTGGAGTCCCTAACAACAAACACCAGGAACAGTAAACAATGGTAAGAAAGGGAGCCTACTGCGGACGTCGGGCATGAGGCCGGTGCAGGCAAGCAGCGCACAGGGTGGAGGCACAGAAGGGGCAGCTGAAATCAGGGCAAATATTAGTGATCACATGCTAACACACTTATCTCTCCCTAGTGTTACAAATGAGCCTTCCATCACCATTCTTTCACTCCTGCTGTAAGTAGATTTTCCAACACAATTCTTTCACTTCTACTACAAGAGTACTTACCAATACAACTCTCTCACTTATGTTACAGGTGAATTTTACTAACAGATCTCTCAATTCTGTTACATGTGAATTTTACTAACAGATCTCTCACTTCTGCTACATGTGAATTTTACTAACAGATCTCTCCCTTCTGCTACATGTGGATTTTACGACAATTCTCTCACTTCTGTTATAGGTGGATTTTACTAATACACTTCTCTCCCTTCTGCTAGATATTGACTTTTCTAATAGAATACTCTCAATTCTGTTCTAAGAGAACTTACCAACACAACACTCTTACTTCTGCTACAAGTAGATTCTACCAACACAATACTCTTACTTCTGCTACAAGTAGATTCTACCATTCTACCAACACAATTCTCTTGCTTCTGTTACAAGTGGACTCTACCAACACAATTTCCTCACTTCTGCCAGAAATAAACTTTCCAACTGAGTTATCTCACCCAATACAATTCCCATACTTCTGCTACAAATGAACTTTTGCAACATAATTCTCTTATTCCAACTAAAAAAAAAAAATTTTTTTTAAAGAAATATTACAAAAATCAGTTGTGTCCAGTAAAAGAAAAATGAAACTTGTATAGGGAAACTCTTACATAACCAAGAGATCTAGGTGTTATACCAGTCAGTGGTCACTTCGCATGAAAGCACACATTTCATCCCCCCAGATTCCAGGGGAGTGTACAGAAATACTACAACACAATAAGAGAGAGTGGGAGAGACAGAGGGAGGAATGAGAAAGAAAGAGAGAGAGAGAGAGAGAGAGAGAGAGAGAGAGAGAGATCAGACACAATAAAAGCAAGAGTTTGTGAGTGCATCTGCTGGCAGCAAACATCAGTGTATGAAACACATACACAACAACTAGTTCTAGAAATCTCTTCCTAAGAAGAAAAAGAAGAAGAGATTGTATGATCTGCTTACAACATGACTATCTGTTTTACAAGCAGTGTTCCTTTTATTAAGCCTTGATATTAAATGATTATGCCAATCTGGCAGAGCAGATCTGATCTAGCCCAAGTTATACTGATACATTTCATATTGACATCCAAGCGCATGGCTTCTGCATCATTGTAACAACCACATCGCCATGCACTAACAATATTCCATTAAGTGCTGATGCATACATTTTATAGTTTGTATGTCCTTATTATAACGCCTATCAAATCTCCATGCACCCAAATGGTACATCTTTTCAAGTAGTTCTGCATCTTTCCAATATGCTTAAAAATACACATTTCCACTGTCATAAAATTTTGTTGTTGTTGAACGTTTGCCTTTATTTCTGGTCTTACTTACTTGACAATCCTTTTAGGTTGGATGAAACACTGATCTCTCACAGACAAGACAGCTTTCTAGACAGCCTCAGATTACTGTTATAAGTAAATGTCAAAACTACCACCATCCAATCACACTCTGAATCGGTCTCCTCAAAATGCGTTCTACAATATTTTCTCATCATCGATTATAACACACCAGAAAATACTGGCAAACAAGAAGAGGCAGACACTGCTACACACTAAGGGCATCATGTACACTGGGCCAACCTTGCCAAGATGGCTGCTTAACTCCTGTTTGAGACATCTTCCCTTCCTCATAGTGGAGTGGCACAAGCATAAATCTACATAATGTATCTGACATGAGGGGGATCATACCTGCAGTAGATATTGCACTGAGCAGACTCAAGACATTACACAGCATCTCAGCAGGTAGGTTCTTGTCCCTTAATAATGTGAGGATTGTGTCTGTCAGCCCAACCTCTTTCAGTGGGATGGCTGCTTCTCCTGCACACACAATACAGTACAGGCATTGACTAATATGTATACCAGTATCCCTTTCATTTTGTTTCTTCTTCTTTTTGTGTGTTTACTGAACACAATGAGGCCTGAGAGTCAGCACAAGGATCCTTTTAATTTTAAAATATGAAAACTTTATCTTTACATCTAATACATTCAACTACACATAGGCCATGATACTTCTTCTTCTTCCTTGTGTTCACCAGCTAAAAGTTCCGGTGAAGAGTCTGGTTGTTTATCTACTTCTGGAATGAAGTCTTGTTTCAGAACTTCAGTTTTGCATGCAAATCTTTGTTTGCAGCAAGCTTATTTGTTCTTCTACTCTCAGGCAGATGCACTCTGACAGTGAAGGAAACACCCCTAATTAGTCAACTTTTATTACATGCTTGTTGGGGGCTGGCTGTCTATTCCCCCCCTCATCCCCCCATCCATAATATGCTTCCCTGAACCCACATGGGGAATGAAACAACAATTTTGGAGATTATTCAGACAAACAATAATACACTACACATTGGGTACAGCTCCTATACAGCATGTCGCCGTCAACCTTCCCACCTCAAGAACTTACATCCCTAGGGTGTCTTTGATATTTCTGTGTCCCCTATTATGCTGGCCGACCCCTGCCTCTTATTCCAGTAGCCATACACTTCAAAACTGTTTTCTTTAAAACACCACAGCGTTTAATGTAGCTGAAGTATTTCAGTTTACCCAGACAAAACCTTTTATGAGCCAGTCCTCCTTGATATTCAGCCTGAAGTATGTCAGTATTTTTCCTCTTCTAGGTCCATGATATTCTAATAACATTTGAGAGTTGCCATAATCAGTTTCCTGATAGGCATAATACAGTAGTTTCTCATACTTAAACTAAACTAATTTAAAACAAATTACAATTTATAATCTAAAACACTACAGTGTGACTTATTTCATCAACATATTCTTAGGACAGTGTTTGGTAGGTTTTGTTTTGTTTGTTTCAGTCTCTCCTCTTGTGGGTTCCATGGGGTCCCTTTGGGGGAACAGACCCAAAAGCATGTCTCAAAATGCAACTGAGGGGTGTTTCCTTCAAAGCTGGAGTAAATCTGCCTGAGAGGCGAGGAACCAACAGTCTGCATACAAATAAACCAAATCTGTAAAATCAACGTGTACACAAAAACTCAAATTTTGGAACAAGACCAAAGTCCAGAAGGGGAGGGGAAAAAACAGAACTTTCTGCCATAGTTTTCAGGCATGGAAAGCTTAGAACAAGTTTTAATCTCATTCTACCTCAAGTTGTCAAGCTACATACAGATAGTATGTGAAGTTTCTATGCTGGGATTTCCTTTATTAAAAAATGCAGCAACTTTTTATTGAAATTTCCTATTGTGTAGAAAATCTTATATTAAAGCAATTTTATATTAAATAAAAACAAACTAACAAACAGTAAAACTTTTCTATAACAATCTTGGAAAATTTTTACTATTTGTTATTGTTTTGTTAATACATCTAATTTATAGTAGATAACCAATTTCTAGCGTATAAATTACATGATGTGCTTTGTAAACAAAGTTTACTTCAGTGACATTCAAGCCAAACAGCCTCCATCAGCAAACAAAATAATACAACAAATGCTCACCCAAAGCCATGCTACATATAATAATCAGTGCCACTATAGCCTCGTTCTGCATCACCAGGTGCTCTGACATCGTCATGGTGATCAGATGACTTAATCCATCTCCACGAATTATATTCTGTATAACCACAGTGGACCGACTGTTTTTGACCAGCGATGCCATTACTCTTGTGGCCTCACCTGCAACAGGAAACAAAATCTCAATAATTAGTGACTATATTTTTGTACAACTGCTTGTATCAACAGTTTAACAGATGCCATTACTCTCATGGCCTCACCTGCAACAGGAAACAAAATCTCAATAATTAGTGACTATATTTTTGTACAACTGCTTGTATCAACAGTTTAACAGATGCCATTACTCTCATGGCCTCACCTGCAACAGGAAACAAAATCTCAATAATTAGTGACTATATTTTTGTACTTGTATCAACAGTTCAAAACAAAGACCATGGCAATATACTGGGTGTCTCATTAGCAGAAGTAGGGAACAAAAATCACTAGACAGGCACTGAAATTGGAAAAGGAAACAAGGGTGTTGAAAAGAAACCGAGTTGAATGGTGCTGACAGAGGTTAAAGATGCCTGGCTGTATTCCATCCATGATTTTAAAAAAAAGAACTGCCAAAAAAAAAAAAATGGAATGGAAGACTAGACTGCAAAGCCTAAATGACTACAAGACAAAAGGATAAACAATGATAACAATCCACTATCAAATTGTTAACATTTATGTGAACATGGCTGTGTGTTAGACCTGTGTCATGAAGTTAGCATGTGGACAATTTCTAGCAGTGCTGTTTGACAAATATAATATCTACAGTATCATATTCCCAAAATCCTTTTGTGGGTTTTAGGCTTCCTTTTGGAGAACCAAAAACAGACCCACTGTCACACTAACAAACATGTCATAGGAGCTGAATAATTAGGGTGTTTCCTTAAAAATCAGACGGCATCTGCCTGGGTGACAAGGAACCAAAAGTCTGCACACAAATAAGACAGATCTGTAAAACAGATATGCACACAAAACTCAAATTCTAGATCAAACAAGCTACAAGACAATGGCATGGATATTGTAACTTCAGAAACATGTTGAAGCTTTTCATTTGAAGTTCCCTCACTAACAAGTGTCATACACTATTCTAATGCTCCATGAAATTTTACAGATTATGTTAAGACTTGTGTTAGCACCTTTCCATACTCCCAGAAGGAGGAGTACCACTGTGCCCTTATATAGAAAAGCACAGGAACATAGCCCAATGCCATATTAATAAAGACCAGGCATGAAATTCCTCCTCTATTGCACAAAGCCTGGGATTCAATAAGGTAGAAAACATGTGTTGCCCATGCAGCATGATTCCTCACTTGGCCTACTTTGTTCATTCGAAAGGAAAGGTAACACAAATATGTTTAGAGAAAAGCATGCTGCAGACAATGCTGGATAAGAAGAGCAGTTCTCTGTTTGTCCACCCTCAAAGACAAGCTGTCAATAAAGGCTAAAGGCCTGGTTTGCCCCACCATTACATTACATTTTCAGGTTACATTGTCTCAGGTTAGTACTGTCCTAACGCACTGACTACCACAATCGCACACTGTGCAATCAGCCTGTGGTTATGACTGGCTTCAATGACTGCACCCTGTGCAATCACAACTTTGGACACTCACCACCATGCTAAACTTGCAGCTTCTGCGATAAATATCTTTGAAGCTATTAGTCCATTCATTTCTCTATGTTTCTTTAGGTAAACAATTTAGTAGCGCTTAGAGGAAATTTGTGCCTGTCTATATTACTGTCTGAACAAATGATTTTTCAGTCGCCTTTTTTTTTTTTCCACCAATCTACAGCCAAATGATGATGTTGTCAAACAAGACTGCAGTTTTTGTTCTTGAAATTAGTTTTCTATTCAATTTGGTGCAAAAATACTAAATATTATAAGTTTATGTTAAATAGTTATAAAGTCATAGGATTTTTTTTTAGCACACAATAAATGACATGGTATCTGGGAAAAAGCAAGCGTTAAAGTGTTCGGTAGTCAGTGAGTTAAAACCATAAAACAATACGCCAGTTTTCAAAATGTACATTATTACATCTTCTTCTTCTTTCGTTCGCCTGAAATAAGTTGTCTATATCAGCAATTTTGTCTCTTGTATAAATTTCACCGTTGTTGTTAATTGATTCAGTGTCCATAGAGTTTACATTCCACTGTTGTTCTTTCTGGCCAAAAGGTTTGCCTTAATGTGTCAAATTCGGTGCAGTCCTGGAGTACATGCTCTGCTGTCTGGGGCACCTTTCCACAGGTGCACATGGCTGATACGCCTATCTTGAATTTTGTGTACATGTGGTTACGTAATCGGTTGTGCATTATTATATCTGTAAATTAAATTATATCTAGAAAAGCATATCTCTCTAACATACATTTAAAAAAAAACAAATAATTAAAAAAAAGACACACACACACACACAAATTAAACAGGGGCTCACTATAATGATAATGGTCATGCAGTTGTACACCACAATTTCGGACACTGATGGGAAAGAAAGTCGGCTCTACTGGCAAATCCGGACGAAGAATAAAAAGCCTTGGACGACTTAGTCAGAGTTCTTTCCCTTGGCCGCACTCCAAACAGTGATCGGAAAAGCTACAACGAAACAAACGACACACTTACTTACCTATCATCCTACGGTTGCGTGTAGGGCTGCGTACGGTTGCGTGAGGCATGGTGAAGGGATGCGTGGTCATCATATGGTTGCGTGCAGGGTTTGCGTACGGTTGCGTGAGGCATCGTGAATGGTTGTGTAGTCATCATGCGGTTGTTGGGTTAGAGTTAGGGGTAGGGTTAGGGTTAGGGTTAGGGTTAGGGTTAGGGTTAGGGGTAGGGTTAGATGTGAAAATTTTGACGTAGGATTTCGAAATACTGGCCTACAATCAGATGTTTGTGGGAGTGGCGCCACTGAAACTGCCAAATATGACGCCAATAGCGTGCGGCTGGTGCCCCCAATCGTTGGCGAATTGTGCGTTTGACCAGCATCCAGAGGCCCTCGATTGTTTGTGTCTGTGTATGGGACTGTGCGCGATTATAGGGAAATCCGGCGTCAAAATTGTCAAATCTAACGCTAAACCTAACCCCTACCGCTAACCCTAATCCTACTCCCTAACCCTAACCCCTACCCCTAACCACGCAAATTTATCGATCATTAAAGCATACAAATCGGCAAAAACCAACGAACAAAACACACCCAAAAAAAACCCCCAGAATTGTCCTGCAGCGTCGGGGAAAAAAAGACCCAGATCTGGGGGAAACAAATAAGCATTGGCAGCCCTGATGTCGACGTGACTGTCTTCTTTGTTTCGTTGGCTTTTCCGATCACTGTTGGGAGTGCGGCCAAGGGAGAGAACTCTGACTAAGTCGTCCAAGGCTTTTTATTCTTCGTCCGGATTTGCCAGTAGAGCCAGAAAGTCAAAATTAAAAGTATTTACTGGAAACACATATCATAAATTGTATACTATTCCTGTAATGTTGCATTTGTAAGTTTAAACCCTAGACACTAGTCTACAGAATGAGCAACAAACACACATCATGTTTGACCTTTGACTCCTGCATGTGCCTCGACCCCGCACCATTCAATAAGGCGCTCCAGAAAAGCTCGCTCTTGACCTAATTTGATGGCAGCTGCCTCTGTAAATACAAAGCATAATTTATCTTATCCTAACCAAGGTTTAATGAACATTATTTACCTCAGATATTTCATCAACTTTACTTCAACAAGTAACAATGCAGCTTCAGTGAGAGCAAGAACATCAGTTTCACTAATGAAATTGAATTTTGTGCCTCATATACCACATTTTCTCTCTTGCCTCAAATACAAATCTTAATAACAAAGAAAAAAAGACTTCTTTTTCACTTCACTATTTACTGCTTCTAGCTGCCTCAGTCATAAATGCCTCATACTGTTGTAGGGTTTCTCTGATGCTATGTTTCCTTTTTGTTCATTATCTACCTTTTGCTCTACATCCCCCTCCCCTTCTGATGTCTGCCGTGTATGGTATTGACAAAGTTAATAAATAGAGAAATTAGACATAGCCAGTTGATTTGTTGGTGGTGCAAGGTTGGTTCATGGTGTGAGGTTTATGGTGTGAGGTTGATGGTGTGAGGTTGGCGGTGTGAGGTTGATGGTGTGGGGTTGATGGTGTGAGGTTGGCGGTGTGAGATTGATGGTGCAAGGTTGGAAGTGGGTGTGAGGTTGACGGTGCAAGGGTAATGGTGTGAGGATGATGGTGCAAGGTTGGTTCATGGTGCAGGGTTGGCAGTGTGAGGTTGATAGTGCGAGGTTGGCAGTGCAAGAGTAATGGTGCAAGGTTGATGGTGCAAGGTTGGTGGTGAAAGGTGTTGTCATCATTTGAAGGCAGCAGATGCTGATAGCTGTACTTGTCTAATGCATCCTTTGATAAATAATTCTTCCCTGTTCTCACCATGATTGTCAATCAATACCTTTGGATTATTTCTCAAGCCATTTCAAAGGCCTAAAGAGTGCCCTAGCAACTGACATTTCTATGTACAACTAGATCAAGTCAGCTGATACTTCTGGATCTTGAGGCTCGAGCCAAGCTGTTACTCAGGTCCATTCTTGTCATCTTAATAACTATCCCCACACAAATCATTTCTTAAAGTCTACGCTTATATTTTCTTTCAAATTTAGGCATTTTCATCAAATTTAACTGAGGAATGTTTAGAGGCGAGAGAAGGATACAAACCTTGTCCTTCAATTAACATGCGTAGAACACCAAGCAACTTGAAGATAACAGCCATGACTTCTGTGTTGATCAGGGAGAGGCAGGCTTCCATGACTCCAGCTTGTAGCAGACGTGGCTTGTTTACAACTGCAAGCAAACCAGAGAAAATCTTGCATTTTTCTTCTGTTCACCCTCAACACGGTGACTGGCATGTTTACAGCTAAATTGAGCTATCTGTGCCTTTAAGCTCAACACATGAGATTTCTGGAAATTCATAGTCACCTTTTATGGCATTCTATATCTATATAAATCACTTTTAGATTGTTTCTTCTAGGCGTATAGGGTCAATTTGTATGTTAGGACACCTTTTCTACGCCCGTTTAAGATTAATTGTGTGACCGCTTCACAGTGTACTTGAGCCATATTCTCGCACCAACTGTCGTAGATAGGGACTATAATTTTATACGTCACTTCTTCGTAGTCCGTTCAAGTGTGCAAACGTGTTGCATTTTTGTAGCCACTTGACCGTTAAAAAAAAAGACAAGCTTCTTTATTCTCTTTGTCCATTGACATGGGTGAGTTTTCCTAAAAGGATTTAAATGAATATTTGTGCTCAGTGCCTGTGTGTGTGTGTGCAAGAAAGTTCGGCAGATTGATAATGTGAATCTGTGTGTCTACGATCGCCTGCGATGAAAGACGATAGATAGCGATCCTGGTTGGAATGCACTTTCGGTTGAAATTTCTCAGTGAATTCTTCGAGCCGGCTTTCTAAACCTCTTCGGATCAATCAATCCACCTATCTGGAGTGTATTTATGGTATTGTTAACTTTGTGTGATCAGTTGTTATCTTTTATTCTGTCCCTGAACTTGTTGAGTCGCTGGACAGTTGGAAAGGACAGAGAGATTCGGGTAAAGCATGACGTCATATCCGCCGTTGCTAGGAGCTACTGTAACCACAACAAGCTTAGGCTTTAGAAATGCTTTCGGAGCATATTTCCTTCTATCTTGGTTTTGTCTTCATCTCCTATATGTTATCTTTCCAACTAGTGAAAAGGATATATTTAGAGGGATGGGGAATGATAGAGATCTGTCTGGCTTTCGCTACAAGACTGGATTCAGGAACTATTCGAGTTAATAGACACGTACGTATGACTCTAGTGCTCACTCTGGGAAACTGTAGGGGTTCCAAGATATATGAAGTCAACCTTCATGGTTTGGACTAGCCCTCATTTACGTCTGAGCATGTGGAGAGCGTGAGAAGGGTGATTAACAAGGTACATTGGGTGCGGTTTGCTCATGTGTGTTGCCTTGTTGATTTCAGGATATTGGAAGATCCAACATGCATCAGTGTGGTAGTCAGGTTCTCTCGCCAACCAGCACCTGGGGAGAAACCGATCTGTGTTGACCAGCCATTGCCTGATATGTTCCACTGACTTTGAAGCTCACGCCCACCAGTCTCCGGGAAGTGATTGTTGTTCGATCAATCTCAGGGGTCATCTTAATCGCACAGAGACGTTCTGAGTAACGAGACGTGGCAGAAATCTACCTTCTGGCATCCAGAGGAGCTGCAGATAAGTCTAAGACAACTTCACTGTAGCGGCCTAAGTCCAGATGTGCCTCAGTAGTCCGTCTCTGCTCTCCGAGGCAAGGATGATCATGGAAATGGATGTGGCTATGTAGAAAGACTCTTTCTCTAGTGTCATTTCTTCAAAGACTTGAACATTCATTTTGATTCTTCGTGCTACTTTTCTTCTACCTTGTTATAGTGCATTTATTACATTGAAGTTTTAGTTCATCAGACTTCTTGTTTCTTAGAAAAGTTTGGTTTTAATGGAATCAATTGTCGTAGTCAGAAAGGTGTTCATGTCTTGTCCTACTCACTGTTGTGTATATATTTGACTGTGTTACGTTGTTTATCAGTCTGGGGGCAAATTTAGTAATGGGGATGTCTGACCGAGAGGTACCCAAGAGTTCATAGTAACCCTGTGGAGTCAGAGCTCGAGTCACCTCATTCCTGAGATAGGCTGAATGGAAGTTTGAACCGAGGGTTAGGCCTCTAGACAAACGAGAGCCACCATTCAGAAGACCCCTGTCTCAGAGCACCTGAGGGGTTTTGGAAAATAATCCTCAAGTAAAGGTGTGCGACAAAACTGCCATACGACATCTACTCTCAACTTCAATATACCACCTGCTGTGGGGTGGAAATCTAGAAATGTTAGAATTCTATGAATGGCCTGTCAGAATTCGTCAATAGAGTCTTCTTCTTCTGCTTTTTACCCCCCCCCCCCCCCCCCCCCCTCCCTGAGCATAGGCCCTCACCTCAACCAACTCACACCAAGTTGTTTAGAATTCTCTATGGTTGGTTGGTATTTGTAGCTATAGTATTTTATGGGGTGAAGGAGCCAACCCCAAACTCAAAATTACCCTTAGTCTCCTTCCTGGACATGCCTGCTAGGGTGCAGTGTACTATTCTTCGCTTTCCATGAGTGTCCCGGGAACTCTTGAGCATTAGGAGATTATCTCTGTAATATCTTACCTAAGGTAGCCAACCCCAAACTCAACCCTACCCTTAGTCGCCTCCCTTGATATGCCTGCTAGGGTGCAGTGTTACTATTCTTTGCTTTCCATGAGTGTCCTGGTAACTCATGATATCTTACCTAGCAAAAGCTCTTCTACCCTCTCTGAGGACACCTTATAAAGAGCTGAAAGAACTGAGCAGACCCACACTGATACTTACCAGGAATAGCCAGGTTGCGCAAGGAGCTGAGGATGGCATGTTCTAGTGTGAAACAGGATTCCTGGCCACTAGTGGATTTCAGCATGGATATAAGCCTGCTGACCACTCCTTTCTCTACTAGGTGCTGGCAGTAGGCATCTGCAACCAGAAATGTGCGGTCACTTGTCATACTACGTACACTGTATGGTCACTTGGATTTCCTGATGTCACAACACATGGACTACCTGATGTAACAACACATTGCTGGCCTGATGTCACAGCACAATCATGACCTGATGTCACAGCACATGGATAACCTGATGTCACAACACACAGAAGGCCTGATGTCACAACACACAGATGGCCTGATGTCACAACAAATGGATGGCCTGATGTCACAGCACATGGATGGCCTAATGTTACAACACATGGATAGCCTGATGTCACAGCGCATGGATGGCCTGATGTCACAACACATGGATAGCCTGATGTCATATCACATGGATGGCCATCACAACACACGGATGGCCTGATGTCACAATACATGGATGGCCTGATGTCACAACACATGAATGGCCTGATGTCTTAACACATGGATGGCCTGATGTCACAACACATGGATGGCCTGATGTCACAACACACGGATGGCCTGATGTCACAACACATGGATGGCCTGATGTCACAACACATGGATGGCCTGATGTCATGGTTACAGACCTAATCTGTGTATCTAGAGCAGGACTATTCAGATAGGTTAACTCAGGGGCCAAAATGAGGCTCATCACATGCCAGAGGATTGTCACAGGCCAGAGGTTCCAGTGTAGAAAAATCATTATTACAATAATACTTGCTAGGCCTCTGCAGCTGGACTCAGCCCATATGCAACCAGTTCTTTTTCTCGGCATTCACCAGTTGTAAACAACTGTGAAAAGTTCTGGTTGTTTGTCCTCTTCTTCTGAACTTGGGTTCTGCATGCACATTAATTTTACAGAGCTGGCTTATCTGTATGCAGACTGCTGTTTCCTTGTCTGTGAGGAACTCTGACCTCGAAAGGAAACAACTAATTAGTTAACTAAATGACATGCTTATTAGGGAGGCAGTTGGTCTATTTCCAACCCCCCCCCCCCCCCCCCCCCCCCCCCCCCCCAACCATAATGGAGCCCTGGAACACAAATGGGAAACGGGAAGAAGTGAACATGGAAACTTGCAAAACTGGATGAAAATGAGCAAGGGAAGAAAGAAGGAGAGAAACACAAGGATGGCCTGACCACATGGCATGGGTTACAGACCTGATCTGTGTCTCTAGATCATGTAAGCTGATGGACCATGGCCACCTGCCTATTCTCACTGGCATGGCACATAATGATGATGTGATTATAGGATAAGCAACTATGACACGTTCAATGAGACAAACCATACCTCTTCTAGCAAAGTTGCCAATTGCCAGTGTACCCAGAGTTTTGAGACACTCTTTCTCTGAGGACAGCCACTCTAGAGACTGCAGAAAGAGAGAGCCTTCACCTGATGCATAGAGCTTTTCCATACTGGTGTCTGGCAGAAAACAGAAAACACTGCATTGGTAACTTCTTATAGCAATATATCTTATAAAACATGGTTAGTTGCGTATCCTTTACAGGACATTGCAGAACCAACCCTAACAGCCAAGGGCTGTTGTGTGGTTTTTCTAGGCAAATTTAAGTCCAGTAGTTTGCCACTGCTTTCTAGACTGTCAGCTTTCTTGATACCACTGTCGAAACCAACGCAAGGCGCATGGCCCGCAGCTGGGATCGAACCCAGCATCCCGGCATTACGAAGCCTTCGTATTGGCTTAGCCAAAGAGCCGACTATAAAACATACACAATCATTAAATGTCTAGCAATTTGTACATATATACACATATATACATACATTGCTCTTCTTGGTAACTGTTCCCTTGGTCATCTATCTAAGACTTGTTCAGACAATGTTTTCTCTCTCTCTCTCTCTTTAGATCCATCAATGTAAACACGGTCAAATAAGTTTAATCTGTCAAACATATGTGTATGTAAAAGTGAGAGAAAGAGAAACAGAGAGAGCAAGAGAGAGCGAGAGGGAAGAGAGAGTGTGGGTAAGATGTGTGAGAGATGAAAGAGACAAGCAGAAAATCAAGCATACAAAATGACCTGTTAACAGTCAGAAAAACAAACAATAGATTTTTTGAGGAAAGAAGTGGTGCAAGAAAGCTTTACAAAGCTCACCTCCAACAAGAATGGAGACAAGGACATCAGAAGCCAGCTTGATCAACTCCTGGTTATTTGAGTCAGCCTCAACCATTCTGACCAGCGACTCACACAGGCCGTTATCTGCAGCCCTGTCCTTCGCTAACTCTGTGCACACACAAATCAGATTCCCCTTTACAAATAAACATATAAAGACTTCAAACGTATCAAAAACACAAGATCAATAGCAATTACATTTTTTATCCCTGGTTGTTACCGGGGGCCCCAATATAACCTAACTGTTGAACAGGGTTTTCAGGACCTCTCCAGGGGTGATCCTCATCTGCATGGTGGCACTTTGTATCACTGGGTGTTTATCGCTCAGTGTGAGGTCCTGGTGGGATAAAACTTACTAAACAACACTATGATAACACACTCTGTAACATCTGCTCATTTCTATGCAAAGGATTTCTTGAGGATCGAGGCCTGAATAGAGTTAACTTTTGCTCTTGATGATGTAAATGCTATTTTTTTCTTAGCCCATTGTCTGTTTCTTTTTGTCCCCATCATCCCAGAATTGTACTTGGCAGGATTCCTTGTTACATCTGGCATCTTGATTTATGCCCTAGTGTTTTTAATAAAGTTCATCAGTATTACCTCCATTAGTGTAACAGGTGTGCCCCTTGACTGCCACTTTGATATTTGTCATTAACTACTAACAGATCCCAACTTCAAGGTTCTATGGAATCCTTTACTGTAGATTCAAGATATTTTGTGTTTATCTTTCCAGCAGCTGCACACAAGCAACTATGGTCGTCTACTGCTAGTCTGGTTCCCACTGCTGCCAATTTGTTTCTCTGGAGTCTAACAGTAGACTGTCTGGTTTTGACTGTTGCCAAACTGTTTCTGTGCAGTCAAACGGGTACACAGTCTGTGCGACTAAACTGTTCCTTAGGAGTCAACCGGTAGATAGTCTGGTTCTCACTGTTGCCAAACTGTTTCTGTGCAGTCAAACAGTAGACTGTCTGTGCTACCAAACTGTTTCTCAACCGGCAGACAATATGGTTCTCATTGCTATCAAACTGTTTCTGTGGAATCAACTGGCAGAGAGCCTGGTTCTCGTTGCTACCAAAATGTTTCTGAAGGAGCAACCAGCAGACAGCCTGATTCTGAAAATTGTCTCCTGAGCTTTTAAAAGCTCATAATCTTCAATGATGTCGTTTGCACCAGGTGTCATAATTAATTAAATCATGTGATCCTGCACATGCTCTCATTCTGCTATATTTCAGTCATCACTACCAACAAATGAACTTTTTTTTTTCAGACATCAGAACTAGCATATGAGCTGCATTTTAAGACATCACTAACAAATGAACTTTTTTAGACATCATAACTAGCATATGAGCTTAACTTGAGACATCAGGATAGACAATTCAACATAACTTAAAGAACTGACTACTGCCCATTTACCTGACTCCAGGAGTGAAGAGAGAAGGTCAATAATGAGCTCCACTAGATGACCCCCATGATGAATGTCAATCAACTTCTTCAGGGTGTCCAGGAGACCTGCCTTGACAGCTGCTACCTTGCCCTCATCTACACACAGACAAGACAGAACACATCAAGTCACTTCTATCACTTCACTGAGGTGTCCTAGATCACATAAACACATATATCTATAGCAAAAAAGCAACACACACCTCAATTGTTATAATTATGAGAATATAACACCCCCAAAACACCTCTGTTTCTTTTTTTAAAAACAAAAACCAAAAAAAAACTGCATTTCTTCAAATACAATACACAGTAGCTCAGTGGCTCACAACCTAGTCCTGTGAACTCATATTATTTTCGGCCTGCATGGACCCAAACGTTTTAAATAGTTGTGCCGAAGAAAATGTAATTTATAAATATTTGAACCACAAAATGATTTCATTCTCAAGTTGAGGATTTTACTGTCCTTCTTGTTCTTGTAAATAATTACATGGACCCAACATTTCATCTGTAGACCTCTAGAAGAAACATTGCAGTTCATCATCGAATGTCTTGTAATCTTGCACTGATTTCAAAGCACTAACCATTATGCCACCACAACACTAGTGTATCAATTTTACTGAATAAACAACATTCCTACCATTGAGAATGATATAGTCACAGCACAAATCAATGATACTGATCACTTTTAATGAATAAACAATATTCTTAACAATGATATTAATATATCCGCAGCACACAATTCCACCCCCCCCCCCCCCCAAAAAAAAATGCGTTACTCCCTTTATTATACCACTTTTGCGGTGTAGGCAGGAGAACCTTTGAGTCTGAGGATTGAGCGCTGCATGGCAAGTGCTGTCGCCACAGACTGTACAGGTGAAGCTTTTATTTTTGCCCCCTATAGAAAAACATCTTGCTTAAGATAGCAAGTTAAATTCCGTATGTTTTTTTTAATGTTGTTTGGTTGTGAGGGAGTGAATTCTTGAATTATTTCATTTTTAAATATTGTAACTGAGCAGATTTTGGCAAGGGCTATTTGGTAAAACAACAGCCATATGTCCATCCCCTACAACAGCAATACTCTGACTTCTGCTTTGCCCTTAAAAGGGTGGTTGGCATGCTGTCTTGTGGTTTACAGCTAGGCTGCGATACTTGCACCTTTCAGCACAATATATCCAATTGAAGCAAACAACCTTGAGGTGCCTTTCACAACAAGCCAGTTATATGCAGTGGGTCTATCTCTTTCCTCCCTCTCCCCCCTATAGGGCTTCAAAATATACACAGAGTTGACAGCATAACAGTCTTTAACAGCTTTGACCACATTCAGTGACAGGTCACAACAGATACTGACAGAGATAAAAGGTGACAAAACAAATGTTGATAAACTACCGGACTCAGTAATACTGCCAGTGGTAAGCAATGCCATGTTGATGAGGTCCTCATCCTGGATGTGCCTTGTGACACACTCGTTGAGACGGTCCAGCACATTCTTCTCTAGTGCTCTCTCTTGCAGAATCTCTGTAGAGCAACCACAGAACAGACATGCAGCTGAAATATTTTTTGCTTGGACAATGTTCTATGCTACACAGAATTCCCCAAATGAAGGCATAACACTTTCATACAAACCAAACTGGAAGGAAAAGTTGGAGATAAGCGAGCAAGATGCAGGCGGTGATAAAACAGGGGGATAACATCAAGAGACAAATAAATCGATTGGTCCATCAACTGGTTTCTTTTCTCTGGGATGCTACCTGAAGGTTTACAACCCTGAGATAATAAATTTGAATCTGGATGGTGACCAACAGGGAAGATTCCAGATACTCTGTTAACCCTTCAAACAAGTTATAATTAGGGCACATGTATTGGCTAAACAGCCTAACTTATAACCTACAGCCCTGTGAAGGTAAGGATGGATGAATAGAAGTCTGACAGAGTGTACACCCAGGGCAAAAGCATGCAAGAGATCCATTGGAATCAACCTTCATTGAAGATATAGCACTAATTGATTGACTAAGGTATGACAATTTGTTGTGTATACTGTCTCCACATATGACAATTTGTTGTGGATACTGTCTCCACATATGACAATTTGTTGTGTATACTGTCTCCACATATGACAATTTGTTGTGGATACTGTCTCCACATATGACAATTTGTTGTGGATACTGTCTCCACAAGCTAGGCTGGCTGTAGTGGAAATGCACATCCCCTGTTGTATTAGGGAATATTACGTGGTAAGGCTTCAATCTTTTCCACAGTGCAACTCTAATACCAGAGAATGGTGTTTTTTTCTGAATTGTCAACCATAGGAAGCTAACCACGGTACACTGATGAGCGGTAAGGAGCTAAGAACCAACTGCTTTTTTTTTGAAAGGGAAGTAACAGATACATACACATTGCACAAAGAACTAAATGAGTCCCTTCCACGTAGCCATCCAAATAACAGTATTTTTGGTCAATTGTTTTTCACAAACAGCAATGTGACGCACTTTGAAATTACATAATGTCACTATATTTTTTTTCACTCTAAAAATAGGGGGGGGGGGGGGGGGGGGGGGGGGTGGGGGGGGGGGGGGGGGGGGGGGGGGGGGGGGGGGGGGGGGGGGGGGGGGGGGGGTGGGGGGGGGTGTTGGGTGGTGGGGGGGGGGGGGGGGGGGGTGGGGGGGGGGGGGTGGGGGGGGGAGGGGGGGGGGGGGGAGGAGGGGGGGGGGGGGGGGAGGTGGGGGGGGGGGGGGGGGGGGGGGGGGGGGGGGGGGGGGGGGGGGGGGGGAGGGGGGGGGGGGGGGGGGGGGGGGGGGGGGGGGGGGGGGTGGGGGGGGGGGGGGGGGGGGGGGGGGGGGGGGGGGGGGGGGGGGGTGGGAAAGTTATGGGGGGGCGGGGGGGGGGGGGGGGGGGGGGGGGGGGGGGGGGGGGGGGGGGGGGGGGGGGGGGGGGGGTGGGGGGGGGGGGGGGGGGGGGGGGGGGGGGGGGGGGGGGGGGGGCGGGGGGGGGGGGGGGAGGGGGGGGGGGGGGGGGGGGGGGGGAGGGGGGGGGGGGGGGGGGGGGGGGGGGGGGGGGGGGGGGGGGGGGGGGTGGGGGGGGGGGGGGGGGGGGGGGGGGGGGGGGGGGGGGGGGGGGTAAAATCAGGGGGGGGGGGGGGGGGGGGGGGGGGGGGGGGGGGGGGGGGGGGGGGGGGGGGGGTGGGGGGGGGGGGGGGGGGGGGGGGGGGGGGGGGGGGGGGGGGGGGGGGGGGGGGGGGGGGGGGGGGGGGGGGGGGGGGTGGGGGGGGGGGGGGGGGGGGGGGGGGGGGGGGGGGGGGGGGGGGGGGGGGGGGGGGGTGGGGGGGGGGGGGGGGGGGGGGGGGGGGGGGGGGGGGGGGGGGGGGGGGGGGGGGGGGGGGGGGGGGGGGGGGGGGGGGGGGGGGGGGGGGGGGGGGGGGGGGGGGGGGGGGGGGGGAGGGGTTGGGGGGGGGGGGGGGGGGGGGAGGGGGGGGGGGGGGGGGGGGGGGGGGGGGGAGGGGGGGGGGGGGGGTGGGGGGGGGGGGGGTGGGGGGTGGGAGGGGGGGGGTGGGGGGGGGGGGGGGGGAGGGTGGGGGGGGGGAGGTGGGGGGGGGGGGGGGAGGGGGGGGGGGGGTTCCTAAAATCATTCCTTCAATTTCTACACAATATGCAAATTGCAACCAGCACCCGCGAAATTATACCATTGAGAATGGTTCTTATACTAAGCAGTCCCCATGCGGGATACAATTTTTCGTTGAGGCTCCACACTGGCCTTTGCCGGGGGCCCCAAATATAGCCGGGCCATAAATATGGCCTGACGGCTAAAAGGAGTTTCATCAGCACACAACCTCACATTCGAGCGCAGACAGTCCAATCGTCAGCACCTCTAGTCTTCCGCTCGATCGCTTACTCCTCATTCGTGGCCCGATTCTCGATAACTAGATACTTGACACCGATTTGCTTAACATTCGGCTGAGTCAGTCTTGACTAGTTATAGCACATTTGGAGTTGCAGGTGAGGTTTTGGCAGCCCGTTGTACGTTGTACGCATTAGTAGCAAACGATTGTCTAGTGAACCGTCGGGAAGGCACACTTGGTGTCCTTTTCAGGATACTCAACAAGTCTTGCTGACCCTTCAGGGATCTAGCTTTCAATAGCCGCCCGACCAGTACAGCTTTCGCCAGCCACAGCCACATCAATTATGGCCCGTGGCAAAACCAGCCAGAAGAAGCCGAGCCAGGACCGTGATACCAGACCAACGTCAGCCAACGAGGTAGCGCCTGTCATCGCACCAGCCCCTACGGTGCAGACGATGCCAGAACCGATTGACGCCCCGGTCGAGTCGCCAGCCTCGCCCACCCAGACGCCGCCAGCCCTAAATGTGGCCCCTATCGAAGCACCAGCACACCTAGAAGTCGTCCCAGTCGTGGCGCAGGAACCCACCTATACCCGCCCACTCAGGCAGCAGCGACCGGGAGCCCACACTCCAGATGTTTTACAGTGCTCTCGCTGTAACAAGGCGTGGCACACAGCCGCAACCTGCCGCAGCAGCCCAGCGTGCCGCTATTGTTCCAAGTCACACGACTTCAAGGAGTGCCCCCTGGCCAAGATGGACCCCGATTTTAAAAACCCAAACACCAGCAGACGATGCTCAAACTGTGGCGGGGCCCACAGCGCGATGAAGCTGGGCTGCACTTACCTTACAAAGTGCAAACTGCAATACCAAGACGAGACAGAAGAAAAGAGAAGGTGATCCCAGTCACAAACGACACCGCAATAACCCAGGAAGTGGCAGAACTCAAAATCGCAGTCCAGAAGCTAACAGCAGACAGAGAGAATGCCACCTCTGAAAGACTCGAGATGCTGGGACTAATTTCCCAAACACTCGACGAAATCAAAGCCCAGAAACGAGACAGAAGCTGCGCAACACACCAAGCTGCTAGCTGAAATCAACGAAGCAAACCAAAAACTCCAAGGCCTTCTGACACAGCTGAAGACAGAGCAGGACCAGGCAGCAGCCCACCGGCTAGCCAAAACGAGATGAAAGAAAGACAGAGACGGCCTTACTAAAAGAAGCCAGAGAGTCCACGTACAGAGAGGTCGCCCAGCTTATCAAAACAACAGCAGACGCAGAAGCCGCAACACGAGAAGCAAAGCAAGAAAGAGAACTACTCGCAGAAAGAAGCAAGGCACCAGCCGTAAAACCACGCACCAGCAGGGCCGACAAAAGTACAGCTACGGAAGCAACGAAGGTAGATGATATATCAACACAAACACAGGAATATCCAGTGTGGCTCAAGTCATACCAAACTTCCAAGAGGTGGGCACCGAAACGACCGATGATGACCTCTGGGAAGCAGATGACCCAGAACAGCCAGATCACGAAGACCTGGAATTCGAAATGCCAGCCGTCGTCGCCGATGACGTAATGACGAAAGACTACATCGACGAATTGTCGCGATGTATGAACGAGCTGATTAAACAAAACAAAGGAAGTTGGAGCATAGACGGCGGTTGGCAATTCAGTGAATACAACAAGGACTTTGGCATACTCTACTAGTCCTTTTCATGACTAGTGAAACATCCACTCCCAATTAGAACCAACGCAGCAAGAAATCAAACTTAGGCGAAAATGATCGCCGCAAAGAAACAAACTAAAACTCATACAGCAAAGAACCCGTCCTTGAAAAAGCAGGTCGTCAGGCGGCTAAAAAAGAACTAAGCTTGTCATTTTTGTTTTCTTTACAACCAACCAAACGGAGTTTCCGGAACCTCTCCACGGGTGATACTCATCCGCATGGTGGCACTTTGTGTCACCGGGTGTTTATAGCTTGTGTGATGTCCTGGTGGGGTACAACAAGAGAGAGCGAGAGAGAGAGAGTACCACTGAGAAAAGATATGCCACTAAAAATTCAACAAGTCTAGATTTCGGCATTTACGGGGCAATAGGGTTAATGTATCACAACGTACCCACTGTTTTAACTTGCCCACTCTCAATTCAACCAACCCGTGTCGTATTTTATAAACCCTCTCATATTTCAGCAACCACTTCTCAGAGTTCACCCATCACCACCTGTATTTCACTCATCCCCTTACATATTTCTTTCAATCGTCACAACATAACCTTTAACATCATCTACAATATTAGAACCGCTGTTAGAGATGTAAGAGACTCAAGCGGCACATTCCACAAGCTGTTACAGTGAAGGTCTGTAAACTTCCGGAGTCGGTAATCAGCTCTTATCTCGCATGCCATCCTGGAAAACATCGCTAGCAGTTTGGTTTGTGTAACTCGTTTAACTAGCTACATTTACCTGCCAGCAAACAGCAGCACTCATTACCGAATATTTACAGGTAATTCAGGTGTACTGCAGGAGGACAAGCCAGGAGAGAGCTCTGGGAGCAGGAGACAAGGGAAGACAGGTGGAAAACCGGAAAGAAGCCAGTAAAATTAAATGCAGGAAAGGAATGTTGAAGCGCAGTTTCTTTATCCTTATCTAGGTTTTAAAATACTGTAGCAGTAAGTTTAAAAAAAAAAAAA